GGCCTTGGGCGGTTGGGCTTGGGCCTTGGGCCCAATCACTATATATCTTTTTGCTGCAAATTTATTTGCAATTTTAGGCCCAAATGGAAAATTCATTTTGGATTTGGACTCGGTTTTTTACCCAACCCGAGTGAGACCTCTCCATGTACAAAGAATCTGGACACATGACCTTTCATGTGAAATATAACACCTGACTTTTCATGTGGAATGTTAATGGCTGGTTAATGGTGTAGTAACACCTGAAACGTTTTCAGGTTACTGGTGCCCATTTATCTCAGCCTTAAGTGGCTGATGTAACTCTTGGTTCTCCCTCAGAGGTGGAAGTCCTATAAATAGGACTTAGAGCTGCAGAGGAAAGCACATAACATTGCATGCACTCTGAATACTCTCAAAAGCCTCACGCATCATATCATACTGCTTTGTTCTCGACTTCATTCCAGTTCGTCGGAGCTCCAATTCTGGTGTGCTACAGTATTCGAGACGTAAGTCGTTGTATCTTTGGGGACGAGACGCCTGAACCCGTCAACACTATACGGGGCATTTTTGTCTTGCGGAAAGAGCAATCGCCTCGGCTATTTTCGCTTTATCTTTTGTAATTTTCGATTTTGTTTTAGTTCAAATTGTACGAACTGGACACTTCAGTCAGTTCATAGGTTCCTACTGTAATAAAAACACTACATTGTGTTACAAAGATTTCGGCCTAAACTAGATACAATGGGCTCAGCTAATATACCTCGAAAACAGAGAAAGAGAGGGGATCGGTTTGCACGGTTCTCAGCTCGGCTAAGCGGCTATGGCTTGGCACTCGACTATGCTTTAGAATCTTGTTGATGCTCCTTACCAGAACCGGCTGCCCCCGGTCCATCGGAGAAATCGGGCCACAACCACGGTGGTTCTCGGTACCAGCAACTCGGGTGTGCTCGAACCTACTCGGCCTGTGGCTGTCTCCGACGGGTCTCAGTAAAATATCATTCATGGTTCGAGGCGACTAAACAAGCACGAACAGGGGCTCGTGTCCACCCGCGGCCTCTGCTCGAGGGTCTGCTACCCGATGACACGCGGCTGAAGCTCCTCGACGGGGTGCTGCT